GCTACTTCTCAGTGAACTCTCGCCCACCTAATAAGGGCATCTGATTCTGAGGCTAGATTCAACCTTCGGGTCCTTGCTTTGGGGGAAGTGCGCGCTCAGGCTGGCGGCGGCGTTTGTGAGGAAGGCTTGCGTTGTGGAGGGCAGAGTGACAATCATCTTCGATTTCTGCTACTAATACAGCTCCATCTTCGATTCGACGCGCTGCGCATCAGGGAGTCTGGCCGGAGAGAACTGCTCGCCGCTGTCGCTGTCGCAGACATACAACACGTGCTGTGCTCTGGTGCGCGCAAACGTACGTCAAGTGACGCGCCCAGCAGTGGGCTCCTCATCGCATAATACGCGAGGCAAAGTGCCATCTCCATAAAAGCCGTATCTACTGTACGCACCGTGGACTGGGCGACACGGCATCGCGGGCGTCGGGACACGAGTACTGCCTTGTGAGCCAGGTCTGTTGCATCTCCCACCACATCCGAGGGCCTGCGACCTGCGACGGCCTTCAGACAGCACAACAGCACTACCGCCCGAACCGGAAGTTTTATCGACCTTTTCTCCCTTCCCCGAATCGGCAACCCTTCACACTTGTGACTCTGCGCCAGTCCATTTGGCGCCTAGTGCTGCTGCATAGTCGCCTAATTCATTCCGTTCGCTGGTTTCAGACACTTGTGCGTCATCCGCCAATCACACCCCTGCAGTTGCAGCTGACAGCTGACACTTTGGCCAGCCAAGAAAATCCTCTTCACCAGCCACAACATGGCGGCTAATCACGTGCCAAGTGACCAGGTGCCTCTGCAAGGCCAGAACGTCTACACCGACCCGTCATATCAGCACCTGTTCCCTGGTGTCGACCGCTACGGTACCCCATCATGGGATGCCCAGCTACATCAACACTCGGCGTTGCCACCTAATACCTCAGCCCAAAGCTGGCACCATGGCGCTTACGCACAACAACCCTTTACCGGCGGCAGCCAAGCATACACCACTCAATCACATGGTCTTCGCACCGCGTCGCCGTACCAGTATGGACAGTTTGGCCAGCAAAACTCCTTGGGCGGTTACGGACAGCAATCGAATGTCGACCCATCGCTAGGCATGGATCCCAATGCTATTCGACAGCAGCAACAGTCGCCATATCCAATGCCCATGCGAACCCAAACTCCCCAGGGCCATGCAAGTACCGTGACACCACAAGCTCTGCAGCACAACACGCCCTCACTGCAACAAGCCCGCCCTACTGCATCTCCTTATCAAGTAAGCCTCACCATTGCCTCCTGTCATCTATCAAATGCTAATTCTCCAAAGGCACCGAAGACCTTGGCAGACAACTTTGCTCAGCAGCGTGCATCTGCTACGTTTGCAAAGCCAGTACCCGTGCCTGAATATGACATGCCAAAGGGAAGGAAGTCGGGGGGTCTCTACGTTCTTGACCAGGCTGCACTAGCAAAAGCTACCAATTCTACTCCTTTGAATAAGTTTGTGACACTGGGCAACGAACCATTTCATCTCGCAACCAATAGAAGTAAGCTTGAATATACTACAAACATTGCGCTTGAAGCATCCTCTAACATGTGCACAGCTGCGCTCCCCGTCTACGTCCCTCGGCAATCGCTCAAAGACCTGAAGAAGGCTGGTGCCGATAGCAAGAAGCTTCGTGCAAGTCTTTCGGCTGCCAAGTCTCAGTCGAGAGCCTTCAAATCCACAAAGAAGCCTACGAGGCAGGCGAGCGATAGTGAAAGTACTACCGACTCATCGGATTACGATAGTGACTCTTCAGAAGAAGAGGAGATGCCCATTCCAGAGACAAGACCAGATGATCCTGATGCGGCTGTTCGTTATGATGTGGTCAAAGCTACATGGCATCCTTCTTCGTCTTCGCCTAGCTCTGACCAGATCAAAAACAGCATGCGAGAGGTATGGGAAGTACTCGACACAATCCATAAGCGGTGGCGAGCCGACAGCAAAGCTGTGACGGAAGCGGAGGAACAGAAGAAGCTAGGTGAGCTGCCCGTGCTGAAAAGCCGGGTAACCAGTCAGCGTGACCTGCTCAAGTCTGCCCTTCAAGCTGCGCTTGAGCACTCCCATCCCGATGTGCTATATCAATTGGGACTGATTAAGCCTTTCTTGTATATGTGCTATCAGTTTCTGGCAAACCGGTTCAAAATTAAGGACTACGATGGGCCTTTGTCTGCGGTCATATACGAAGTGCTCTCTCGATGTGGTACCTTGACTCCTGAGCTCCTTGAGGAGACTAGGCTAGGAAAGGCACTTGTTTCGATGAAGAAACACGCAAATGACAAGCACAAAGCCTTCATACAACAAATCATAGATGGTGCTTCCGCAAATTCCAAAAAGGCCAAGGCAAGCTCGCCGCCACGAAGCGAGCCCGCAGAAAACAAGGGCATCAAACGACCTGCACCAGATGCTGCTAGCCGATCATCAACCGAGAACCCTTTGACGAAGAAACCAAAGGCACCCGAAGCTCCTGTGAACGCTGCCAAAAAGGATCTCGCGTCCACTTTGGCTTCGAGATCTGCAACCACTGGTTCGAACACGACAACACAGAAGCGACCTGGCGAGAGGGCGGCACCTGCGCCTGGTCCCGTCAAGACCCGTGTTAGTCAAGTTACCAATAAGCCCTCGGGCATCTTTGCCTCGCTCAACGCGGCAAGTAAGAAGTCGGCGCCTGCACCAGCTCCCGCGAAGGCTGCTGCGCCTAAGGCTGCTGTCCCCGCGCCGAAAGACAAGAAACCAGCGGCAACGACGACATCGAAGCCCGCATTTTCGTTTGCTCAAACGATGGCCTCACTTCAGAAGTCAAAAGAGCCAGAAGCTGCGCCAGTCAAATCCGAGAAGCCAGTTCCAGCGGAAACACAGGAAGAGAAGGCGAAGCGTCTACGGAAGGAAGCTCGGAGACATCTTCGCGTTACGTGGCGGCCTGAGACGTCACTGGTGGAGGTCAAGTACTTTGATCACGAGGCGGATGACGAAGAGATGGACAACAAGGGCGACAATCTTGTTCGGGACGCCGGTGACCTCGGTGGAGAAGGACACATGTTCAAGCAGCACAAGGAGCTTGATCTCGACGACGATGATGAGGAGATGGATTTCGACAGCCGATCATGGCCCCCGCCGTCTCAAGTCGACTTCAGCGTGGTGCCTCAAGACGAGCGCCAGCGCAATTACGCGCCTTACGGTGGCGGAGAGAAAGAGCCGTCGTGCCCTGAGAAGGAGGCCAACGTACAGCGCGAGAACGGTACATTAATGGTCTACTACTCAAGTCCTGACGACATCCCACCGTCACCCCAAGAGCCGGTGGAACAAGGGCAAGACAACACATCGACTGGCACCGTGGTCAGTTTCGGTACTCCGCCCGATATAGTAAAGAACAGGTGCCCACAAGCGCCAATGTCTGCAGGTGTACCCGACTTTAGTCAATTGGAGAACATAATCAAACAGCTTTCCGGAACCAGTCAACCGCCTGCCGCTACTCCGGCTCCTGTCGAACAGGCTTACACGCCGCCTCCTCCGTCAACAGCTGCTCCATTCGACCCCGCTGGCCTTCAGACCATACTCAACTCCATCAGCAATGGCCAAGCCCCTCCTCAGCCCCCACCTGTGTCTTTCCCGATGCAGCCACCGCCACAGCAGCCAGGTATGCCCCTGGATATTGCTGCACTCATTGCCAACATGCAGGCAGCAACAGGCGGCGCTCTTCCTCCACCACCACCTCTCCCAACTGGCTTCCCTCCATTCCCATTCGCTTTCCCACCCCAGCCTCAGCAGCCTGAAGCTGCAGCATGGACTCCACAGATGCAGGATGCGTCCACCTACCAACCCCAGATGCAGCCGCAGTACAACCAGCAGACGAACGGTGGCACCAAGCGGCAACGCGATGAGGGCAACGGCAACGGCAACAACGATCGCAACCAGGGAAAGCGGCCCAAGAATCGCGGAGATCACAAGCCTCACAAGGTCCTGGCATGCAAGTTCTTTGCCAAGGGTCTCTGCAACAAAGGCGAAAACTGCACCTACATTCATGACCCCAAGATGATCGGACAATGATCTCGTTGCAAAAGATGCGGTGTCCCTTGGAGGAATATGGAGGATCTGTATAACAAGCGCTTTTCTTTCTTCTTCATGTTTTCCTAGTTGTCATTCGAGCATATGCATGCATACCCCGGGCGGTTGGCCTGCCCACGCGCGCAGGCCGGAGCATTCACAGGCGTTTGTTAGTAGCGCAGCATTTGAAGGGCGCAAATAGGGATAGTTATGGATATGGGTGGGATGCATCTCTACGGAGACATGGACGGGCTAGGAGTGGTATGTGTCGGATGATAGTCATTGTGCAGATGGATAGCATCCTAATTCTATTAACACATACTTGCATTTTATTGATCTGTTACTTGATTTCGCATTGCTACCTAGAGTGATGACGCGCCCTTGGGGAGTAGACTAAATGTTCAGCTGCAGGCGTGGAGTCGATAGCGTTCGCTCGCAGCCTGGAACCTGCAGCTATGGCCCAAACAGTTTCAAGGCTGCATGTTTGGGAAAAGCAATCACGTGGTAAACGAGTGAGGCACTCGGCGCCCTCCTTTTGATGATTGTCTTTTCCGCATCATTTTGTGCCTGATCATCGCCTTTATTCTGGTTCCGAGACGTGTTGTTGTGGAGTAGCGCGCATCAACCGGTTCCGCGCTGACCAGGCTTTCCCGCAACGGCAAGCTCCGTCATATCTTTTCACAGGCATCAGACATCATCCAACCTTGGCCGATCCGATTCCAGCCCTCCGTCCAACACTCGCCCTCGCCCATCACGACCGCAATCGCTGCACCCGCTGCACTCTCTGGACCCGCACCCTCGGCGCTCTCCACGTCGCTGGCCTCTTCTTCCCGGACCTTCTCCGCTGCCGAGTCATCGCTCCGCCGTACACGAGCCGATCCACGACCACCCCACGCCCACGACATCGCGCCTCCATCGTCCGCCACTACCCAGACCCCGCAATCATGGCTCCCGCCCGCAAGAGGACCACCAACATCGCGCGTCGCAGGCGGACGGACGACGAGGATGAGAGCCAGTCGGTGGCAACCCTTGCCGACGACTCGCAGAGCGACGCTTCCCTGCTGAGCGATGTCGACGAGGACGCCGACGCCGACAACAGCGACCTGAGCGAAGTCGACAGCGCGCCCTCCCTCACACAAGGAAAGCCTAAGCGGAAAGCAAACGGGGCGCGTGATGCAAAGGCTCGCCAGGATGCAAGCAATCGCCAACCCTCGCCGCCCATCGCCCGCTCCGATGTGGCCTTTTCCACCATGAAGGAGACGGAGATCATGATGAATGGCCTGAAGATTGGCGAGGACGGAAAGGACGCGGAAGTGGTCGACTTCGAGACGGGCGTGGCAGCAGTGGAAGCCGCACCCGCCGTCGGTGCGCCGCAATCGCGGGCAGAGACGCTGGCGGAGCGGCGGCGGCGGGAGCATGAGGAGTACAAGAAGAAGCGCGACTCGGATCCCGCCTTCATCCCCAACCGCGGCGCCTTCTTCATGCACGACTCACGGCATGCTCCTGGTCAGAATGGCTTCAGGCCCGCAGGCCGTGGGCGTGGGCGGGGTGCTCCCATCGGCGGGCCCTTTTCCCCTGCCAAGTACGTACAGACGCGGAGAGCATGGAGACATTCAACTAACACGTCCTCTAGCATGCGGCCACAGCCACAGGAAGCCACGGATTCCCCCTGGCAGCACGACCTGCACGAGACCGTCAACGCGCCCGGCTCTCACGCCCACGCCGGACACCATCCTTCCAATGGTCCCATGTTCGCATCGAGAGTACCGCCGGGCCCTAGCCAGAAGCCACCGCCAGCTCGCAACTTCTCAACCACGACGCATACGCACAATGCCATGGTACGCGTCTTCCTGCCCAACATGAAGGGCCCTATACACTTCCAGAACGTCCCCATAAAGTCGCACACTCGTCTGCCCAACCATCGGCCACCCCTCCGTCGCGACAAGCCAGTCCGCATATCCCTACCTCCGGCTCCACCGCGCTACATCTTCCCCACCACAGAGCGCTCCTTCATCTTCATCCCAAGGGCCCTTCGACCCAACCAACAAGGCTTCGGCCGGGGTCGCGGTCGATTTGGATCCTTTGGCGGAGGCTTCTCAAGCAGACGGACAAGCGCGTACGGAGGCAGTGTATACTCGCCAAGTGTAGCCATGAGCAGGCGGTCGTCCATTGCACGCGAGATGGGCCGGGACAATCTCGTCTCTCCGGCTGGTTCCATCATGTCACGTAACGGTGGTTTCGTTGATCCCAGTCGTCCTGTCGTGCGCCTCCCGCCTGGTGGCCCTCGGATGCCCAATGGACCGTCCATGATCTCGCCCACGAACGGCGCTGTGCAGCCACCTTACCCTCTTCCACAGAAGCCTACCTACCGGGAGAACTGGCAGGGTTCACTTCCGATGCACCAGCCCCGCCCGCAGAAGACTGTCTCTGTTGCTGGTATCGAATCGCCTGCATCTATGAGCTTCAACCCCCCGCAACAACAAGAGCAGCAACCCTTCCATCAGCAAGTTCCCGCGCACATCAATGGAGCTGCTCCTGCGGTCGAGCAGCCATACTATCAGCATGGACGTCACCCTTCGTACCCAAGCCAAGTGTCGACCGGCACACCCAACATTCCCGAACGAGCCATCCACGCTCCCGCATTCCAGCCTTACGCGCAGCCTGGCTTCCAGCCACAAGCCTTTGTGCCACAGGGATACTACTATCCTCAAAACGGCGCCCAGCCCCAATACATGGCCCCTGCCGGCATGGTGCCAATGTTCGTTCCTGGCGCTCAACAGCCAGGCTATGTCATGCCGGTGTCTGCTCCTCCTCCTCCTCCTCCTGCGGCTCCACCAGCTCCGGCTGGTCCTCCCAACATGGTGGCTTACGAGCAAAACGGCATGACATACTACGTCGATTCCGCCTCGCTTTACCCGGCGCCGCCAGTAGAGAACTATGCTCAGCCTAGCTATGCCGTTCCTGGGATGGGAGGCATGATGACACCTGGTCCGGACGGCGCCTACTACTACCCACAGCAAATGCAGCCCGCGACATTCTACCCGCAACAATAGACGACTAGATCCTTGCCACCCATGTCCCATCTCACAATCGCTCTGATTATCGGTTTTGCATTTCGACATGTTACGTCCAACTATACAGTTCCTTCCTTGCAGTCGAGCATGGCGCATCTGGCTTTCGATTGGGATATTCGGTGTTCTAGGCGAAGCACATTCGACAGCGTAACTTGGTTCTTTCCCTCGGTCACGACAGCAAGCGACACAAAAACATTCATATTATCAAATGTACTGGCGGGTATCGGTCTTTTCTCAGCTGCTTACGATGTGGCTCTTTTACACAAGAGATGATCTGCTTACGTTTGCATGGTGTTCTGCGTCTTGCGTTCGGTGGCTGTATCTTTCTTAGTCTGGATATTTCTACTCTGTCCTAATAAAGCTAAACTTTGATTCCTCGACATTTGATATTCCGGTCTTCTCCTGGCTTCTTGCATTATGGCAAGCAGCAATGTATCGGGGTTGGAGAGGCGTCAAGTAGGCGAATGCCTGTGTAAGGCTTTGTTGCTCGTCAACTACTTAGATAAATAAATATTGGTTTCACCACCACGATCTCGCGACGGCGAACAACAGCAGACCTCATTGTATTGCTTGTATTGCTTGTGAATTGCTTTTAGATGGTGAATGGGTGTGGTTGGCATGGATGCAGTAGCGGGGCTTGGCGCGTCAAGACGCTAAGAGCTGGCACTGGGTTCGCCGCATCATCATCGCGCAGGCGTTCGAGGCAGCTCTCGCTCCATCAACCTCCATCTCGCATAACCCGCCCCCATCGAATTCCGGGACAAGCACACCTCGCCCGAAGTCTTGTCTCCCGATCCGCCATCATGGCGCCCAACAAGGACACCATGTTCCGCTCCGCGGACATGTCCTTGACCCAGCTGTACATCGCCAACGAGATTGGCCGCGAGGTCGTCTCAGGCCTCGGAGAGCTTGGTGTCATGGACTTTAGAGATGTGAGCACAGGCAGACGTGTTCTGGAGCTTCTCTGGCAGCTCTGGGACGGATGTGATGGCATGGGAAGCTGACAAGATGTACTAGCTCAACGCCGACACGACCGCCTTCCAACGTACTTTCACCCAGGAGATTCGCCGCCTCGATAACGTGGAACGCCAGCTCCGCTACTTTCGCGCCCAGATGGAGAAGTCGGACATCTCGATGCGCTCCATCTACGACTTCAACAACCCCTTCACTGCGCCTTCCGCCTCCGAGATCGACGAGCTCGCGGACAAGAGCCAGAGCTTGGAGCAGAGAATCTCTTCGTTGAACGAGAGCTACGAGACACTGAAGAAGCGCGAGGTGGAGCTCACAGAGTGGCGATGGGTGTTGAGAGAGGCTGGTGGCTTCTTCGACCGGGCCCGTGGCCAGACTGAGCAGATTAGGGACTCTGTTGATGATGACGACGCGCCGCTGCTCCAGGATGTTGAGCAGAACGGACAGGGTGACACGGGTGCCGAGCGCTCTTTCACTGTCATGAACATCGGTTTCGTCGCTGGTGTCATTCCTCGCGAACGCATTGCCGCGTTCGAGCGCATCCTGTGGCGTACTCTCCGCGGTAACTTGTACATGAACCAGTCGGAGATCCCCGAGGCCATCATCAACCCGGAGAACAACGAGGAAACCAACAAGAACGTCTTCATCATATTCGCGCACGGCAAAGAGATCATCGCAAAGATCCGCAAGATCTCAGAGTCGCTCGGCGCCGACCTCTACAGCGTGGACGAGAACAGCGAGCTCCGCCGCGACCAGATTCGCGAAGTCAACACCCGCCTGAGTGACCTGGCTAGCGTCCTGAAGAACACCAAGTCCACCCTCGATGCCGAGTTGACTGCGATAGGACGCAACCTCGCAGCTTGGATGGTCGTCATCAAGAAAGAGAAGGCTACCTATGAGACGTTGAACAAATTCTCCTACGACCACCAGCGCAAGACGCTCATTGCTGAGGCATGGGCCCCTACTAACTCCCTCGGTCTGATCAAGTCGACCCTGTCAGATGTCAACGAGCGTGCTGGCCTGTCAGTGCCCACCATTGTCAACCAGATCAAGACCACCAAGACGCCACCGACATACTTCAAGTCGAACAGGTTCACAGTGGGTTTCCAGACCATCATCGATGCCTACGGAACGATCAAGTACCGCGAGGTCAACCCTGCGCTGCCAGCCATCGTTACGTTCCCGTTCATGTTCGCTGTCATGTTCGGTGATGCCGGACACGGTGTCATTATGCTTCTCGCAGCTTGCGCCATGATTTACTTTGAGAAGCGACTCGAGCGCAGCAAGCTCGATGAGTTGTTCTCCATGATGTTCTACGGTCGTTACATTGTCTTCATGATGGGTCTCTTCTCCATCTACACCGGTCTTCTATACTGCGACGCTTTCTCTCTCGGACTGCCCTGGTTCAAGTCTATGTGGGTGTGGGACAACGACGGCAAGGGCCCAACCTCGAGCCGTGTGGAAGGTTACACCTACCCCTTCGGTCTGGACTACCGCTGGCACGACACCGAGAATGATCTGCTGTTCTCCAACAGTTACAAGATGAAGCTCAGTATCTTGCTCGGTTGGACCCACATGACCTTCTCCCTGATGTGGTCGCTTGTCAACGCTCGCTACTTCAAGACCAAGATTGACATCTGGGGTAACTTCGTTCCCGGTATGATCTTCTTCCAGTCCATCTTCGGTTACCTCGCCTTTACCATTGTGTACAAATGGTGCATCGACTGGCCTGCGCGTGGCGAGAGCCCGCCCAGTCTACTCAACATGTTGATCTACATGTTCTTGAGTCCCGGTACACTCGAGGCTGGCACCCAGCCGCTCTACCCTCATCAAGCAGGCATTCAAGTGGTTCTCCTCTTGTTGGCGCTTGCTTGCGTTCCCGTCCTTCTGTTCCTCAAGCCGTTCTACCTCCGCTACGAGCACAACAAGGCTCGCGCAATGGGCTACCGTGGCATCGGCGAGAACTCGCGAGTCAGCGCGCTCGACGACGACGACGAGAACGGTCATGCCAACGGACGTGATAGCTATGGAGATGACGACGATGGCATTGCCATGATCACCCAGGACATTGGCCACGGCGAAGATCACGAGGAGTTTGAATTCAGTGAAGTCATGATCCACCAGGTCATTCACACCATCGGTAAGTTCCCCATATCGCCCTCATACCACATCTACTAACATCCTTCTCTAGAATTCTGCCTCAACTGCGTCTCCCACACAGCCTCGTACCTCCGTCTCTGGGCCCTTTCCCTCGCCCATCAACGTCTCTCCATCGTCCTCTGGGAAATGACCATGAAGAACGCCTTTGCCTTCACCGGCGTCGGCGGCGCCTTCATCATGGTCTTTGTCTTTTACTTCTGGTTCGCACTCACGGTTGCCGTGCTGTGTGTCATGGAGGGTACGAGTGCCATGTTGCATTCGCTGCGTTTGCACTGGGTCGAGGCTATGAGCAAGCATTTCATCGGTGATGGTGTGGCGTTTGAACCGTTTAGCTTCAAGCAGTTGCTTGAGGATGAGCCTGTAGAGTAGTTTGCTGTTTTGTTTTGTGCAATGTCCTTTTCCTTGTGTTTGGGTTTTAGTTAGTCAGGTGGTGGTGCTGCTGTAGGAATATGATGAGAGTAATTGTGCATGTCTGTATATAGGAATGGATATTTTTACTCCGTATTACCTCGTGTCGCTGAACTTGAACATTAGACTAATTCGGTCCATGTGGTTTGGAAGAGACATGGTGTACCGGAAGTATTCGGTTTGTCAAGAAATTCTGCTTGGACCGCACACCACTCTGAAACTTGAATCAACTCCTTTTTTGCGTGAATTCTCTCACGAACTGCTGATCGGAGAGTTTCGGGTCTTGAGTAAACCGTGTGCCTGGCCCGCGGACAGGAAATATGAGTGGGCCCACGATCGTAAGGCTGTTATTGTGGCTGGGTGAGGCATTATTCCCCTTGGGCGCCACGGAACCGCGGATCAGCGACCAGTGTTACAAGCCTCATATCGGTGATGACATTTGCAGCTGCAGCTGTGACATCTGGCGGTGCTGAGGCGTAAGCTGACAGGGGGTTGTTTGGCCACACCTTTGGAGGGGTCTGCATGGGCAGCAAGCATGGCTGGCTTTCGATGTCGCTCGTCGTGCATGGCGTCTTCTCCACGCCAATGCCGACCTGCATATCCGTCCCATGTGGCATGGACTAAGTTCTTACATCGGCCTCGACGCGGTCGGCAGCACTAACTACCGTACGCTACGCATACCGTCAAGCGGTGAAGGACAAGTGAACCCAGGATGAGGGCTCTTTGCGATCTAGAGGCTAAAGGCACGCGCCGATCCGGGACGTAAGCCTCCATCATCTCCGTGAGGCAATTGATTAGGGAGTAGGGATTGTCTGAGCAACGTCGCAAGGCGTGTCTGTGTTATCCCCGGTGGCTGAAGCGGAAGAAGGAATGTCACATACGGCATCGGGCTAGCTACCAACGCAGCTCGCACATGTGCAGTTGTGGATGCGTGCATGCATGCGTTTGTGGGTGGATGCCCTACCTGGCGTGCGTGCGAGCGGCGTGCGAGAGGGCACCACGACACGCGTGTTTACTTCGTACGGCGAGTTATAAAGGGCCGATGCGCCTTACCTACCCTACATACCCAAGTTATCTATCCCTTGAGCCCCTCATTTCTTGAACATTGCTCGCTCTGTTCTGTTGATACCACCTGCCGTCTTTCCTTCCTTCCACCCCACTACGCAGATCTGCGCACCCACCCCTCCATCATCGAAAGCTAGGCAAAAGCTTGATTTCGCGCAACCACCAAACTCTACACACACCATGTCTTTCTCGGCAGACAAAGTCAGTCATCTCAAGGGCGCCTTCTCCCAGAGGCGCTTTTCGAGTTCGAAGGATCCTAGCGAGAGTGGTACGTACCTACCTACCCGTTTGTTCTTCCGCGATTGCTGTTGGCTACGTCATTCCTGAGGTGTACAACCCAATGGAAGTGGATCTGAGAAAATTGGGGGCGCCGCGCT